ACAGCACCAATAGCCAACTGAGTTCACTTTTCTATGACAGCATAATTTCTCAATAATTAATTTTCAGGTTTTCACATTCCTTGTATCATCCATCCTGGACAGTATTCAACTCAACTATTGGTTTTGCATTTTCTAAACTTTGATTGGAGCAGTCCATGACAGTGTTCTCCAGGAACAGAGTAACAGAGGCACATTTGCCTTCTTGAAATTTCAGAGAGCCAGTCCCCTTGTGATAAAATATTTTAAATAGTTTATTTTTTAATTTTTTTATCCAGTAACAAATTAGAAGAATTAAATTGCAAAAGCTGAAATATAATTAGAAAAATTAGCATAATTGTTGCACTTCGTATTGAAAGCATGTAACTGCATTAAGTGTAGGTATCCTGGGGAGAAATCTGCATGCAAGTTTTAATTTTCACTAGCTTGACTGAAATCTCATTCCGGGCATACATGCAGGATGTAATTTCAAATACTGGTTGAATTATTGATCAAACTTGGACTAAATTTGTGTTTTGTTAATTTAATTTTACGTCCAAACAGTGACTGATTGGTTTTTCTGAGTGTCCTTGTACTTGCACTACCAGGTGTGTGATACGATGACCATTACTGTTAAAAGTTTGTACACTTATAATGTGGTTCAAATAATGGCCAACTGCATATATAGTGTAAACAAATTCATCAAAAATATTAAATAATTCTCAGAGAAGCAGTATCATTCACACTTTAATTGCACTATATTGTATTGCATGTACGAATTGTTTTATATTACAGGGAGTAGCTTACATTTGATAATTTTCTTTCTTAGTGATAGACACAGCAGCTGCAACTTTCGTTGGAGGCAAGCATATTTCTGACCATACTCGTAAACCAGAGATAATGGCAGATGCTGCATATTTGATGCTGACTAAAAACAGTAGCAGGTTTACTGGTAATTTCTGTATTGACGATGATATTCTGAGAGATGCTGGTATAACTGACCTCGAACAATATGCAGTTAAACCAGGCAAGTTTTCCTTTGTTATTAATTCTTTCAAGTGCTAGCTGACATGTAGGCGTGAGTGGCGCCCTCATCGGCAAAAATGGCATCAGACCCCATTAACGCCTAACAGAATAGTGTATATCTTGTTGACAAGATCAATACTGCAAATTCGCAAAGTTCTGTCTTGCAATGAGTTTCAATGAATATTCATTTTGGTAGTCATGGTAACACCGTCAATCAAAGCCACGTTTGCATTGTCAGTGAAAATCACACTGTTTTCAACAAAATGATAAACATTGGGCGGGAATTTGCCAACGCCTTATCACACATTATGTGAACAAACAAATAGACTCTGCTCAATGGTTACTCTTTGATGGCTGTCACTATCTGACGTTCCTGCAATTTGATTGGTACCGACAAAAAATCATTGGGGGTTAGTGAAAACTACATCGTTCTGTCAGTCGTGTATTGGGTTTGGAGCACCACGGAGGGCGCAACACACGTGACCTTGTCAGGCTACCGTAACCTAATATCACACTTCGTGTCGTTGTTGCATATCAAATGCTGATGAAATGCTTGCTATTTTCTTGTTCAAAATAAATTATTGGTGATTGATTATTATTATGTTTATGTGTATCAGGACAAAATAATTTTTTTTAAATTAAAATTATTTTTAAATTTAATGAAAAAAGACTGATTTTAAACTCACTCTACCCATAGTCCTATTTGTGTGCGTCAAAACGAGGCTCATCAATAGTCCTCATTAACCTCTCATTTGCATACAAAACTACCCCTAGATACATCAATAAATTTCATTTCAGAGGGATACAGATCGAAAATGATAAACGTATTTGTGGGCATTTCATCAGCACTTTAAGCTATCCAAGAATCGGTATGGGTAAACTAGTATATAAAAAAGCATACGCTTTGAGAAGAATGTTTGAGGCGCATTGTACTCTACATTTAGGCGTTAAGAATTATCAATTCAGTTTCACAAAAACATTGAGAATTTTTCCATTTTTGGTACACTAGGATATTATTTTATTATCTGAAAATTTTTTTGATCAGGACTGGTTTTATTTACCATAAATATTCTTATTATTAGGTATAATTTTTCAAACATTTCAATCTTACCTTGCACCTAAATTGGAGTACGTACTATATAG